GACGGTAGTTTGAATGTGGTGCCATTGTAATTTAAAAAGTAGACGGGAAGGGTTTTTATGGCTTTTTAGGTCACACATTTGTGTTGTGTAACGTATTAGGCGCATTTTACAGCTCCTTGAGGTCATCCATACACCTCCTACCTTGGCTACGCCCACATTCTTGCCGTACATAGGCCCAGTTTTTGGGCACAAAACTCAGTCTCTCCGGTCCACTCGAACTGAGTGGCGGAGCGAGTTTGGTCGCCCACTACTCTCAGTCCTCATTACCATGGGGGAGGAAAAATGAGAAAATTTGATGCACAGGAAGAGAGAGGAGGCAGAGAAAACATTTGCGCATCCACCAACCGCCACTCACCCCTTCACGCACTCCACAACCACGGCTGCCCCTCTACTATCCCGCCTTCCCACCAGTCAGGCCATACAGCCGCTGGAGCCTGGGTAACGTTGCCCTGTTTCCTGGCAGGCTGCCAAACGATCCCGGTGAGCGACGCCATGAAACACCGTTGCCAGAGATGACAGAGGGCTTCCCAGACACCAGTGACCACCAGCCGAGCTGAGCCGAGTTGTGGTAGTTGCTCACTAGAGGAAGACATTACACATCAGCGAAACATCGCAAACCCTAGACGTAACGAATAAGAGAAAAAATTACCAAGCAGGTTAAATTTAAGCCTCCTTTGTCTTTTCGTTTGAAAACTATATTTGGCGGCGTTTTATTTAGTCTGATCCCAAAACCTTCTAATTCTTGTTCCAAAAGCCTTTTATGCTGCAGCGGTTTCAACACGTCCAAGACCATCAGAATCAACGAGCATGTCCGTGCTACTGAAAATCGTGAAACATAAAATAATGATAAAAATCAAAACCACTACGAAAGCAAACTCGTCCTAACTGGATTCACCTTCAGCCCAACTAGTGATTCACGAGGACTGCGACAGCGATCATACATTTTTGCACGAACCCGTCCTATGGAGAAGTAGCCTGTACTACTGCGGTGTGACTGCGACGTTGCAATTTGAACATTTTTTTATGCCTATATGCAAGACCCATGCCTAGGCAGAAAATTATCTTACGCTTTGTAGTCCGCACATGAACAGCAAACATCCTCTGAAAAATACTGCGTCCTGCTCGTTCGGGTTACCGAGTTAATTGGACACCAAAAGTGACCTAGACTTAACATTCACTAGCACGCATGCAAGATGTAAACGTGCTTTAAAGCTGGATTTGAATGGGTCACACACTGGCATAGAATATCCTCGTAAAGTTTAAGCCCCCTAACACGAGTAATTAGAGAAGTCGCTTTTCGTTACAAATATCTTTAAGATATCCGAACACACAATAGAGGCGAACGCCAAAGCTCATTTTATGTCTACACGCTCAAGGAAGGAAAACAAAATTTTCACATAAAGTTAGAACGCTCTAATTAATTTCATTACGAGTTGATATTTTGCCAACAATGCCTTAACCTCAATTTTGTTTTGTCCGCATACATGACACGGGCGTGCGTCAAGACTGCGTTTTTAATCTCTACTCACGCACAGACATAGAAAACTCCTGTGAAACCCCAGCTTCCTATCTTGTCTGGTTCCTAAAAACGTCCCCGCCAAAGAAATTTACACATTTTTTTCAGGGTTCGTACCGAGATTTAGGTGCGAGATAATTTTAAAACAAGAGGATGACACACAAGGTGGAAATATGCCCCCAAAATTTTAGCCTCCCAGTTTTTCTGGTTGCTGAGCTGAAAGTGGGTGACAAATTCACTTGCTTCCAAATACAGATACACACATGTGCACAAACGATCTCTTGACAATATGCGTTTTTGCCCATTTTAGTAGCGCTACAGAAATCTAAAAACCAAAGCAATGCTGACCGGCAATCACTTGCCGTCCACGTCCTTTGCCATCTTTTGCCCCTTCAATAATTCCAGGCAAATCGAGCAGCTGTATTTTTGCACCTTTGTAACGAATAACACCTGGTACCGTGGTCAGTGTAGTGAATTCGTATGCAGCTACTTCTGAATAAACACCGGCAAGATTGCACAGCAGCGTCGATTTACCAACCGATGGGAATCCTGGAAAATTCTGAGTGATAGAAGCTTTTGACAAACCCTAACAGAAGCTCCAAAAAAAGTCAGCTTTTGCTTTGCTTTCGTCATCCTCCACGGAAGGTTCCAGAAAATGAACACGAACAGATAAACACAGAATATCTTGGGAATAATTATGGAAAACTTGACGATGGCGAAAAGTGTAAATATGAACAGTTCAAGCATAAACAAAAGTACAGTTGGAACGATGATTTTGAGTCAGATCATGGGTATTTCTAGGATTTATCATAAGAACTGGACATGTGCAGGCTAGGTTCGAAGCGCCAGGCATAACTGGAACTGCCACGTAGGAGCAACCCAGTAACATAACTAACTTGGGATGCCCGCATCGACTGCTCGGAGCAATTTTGGTATTCTTGGTACTTGAATAAGCAGGAAACAAAACCACCACAGATGAATGGTGTGTAAAAGATGGGTGACTTCAGTGTTCGATGCGCCTCTGGTATGCTGTATATTGTTTCCTGGATGATGCATTGATGCTAATTCTTAGGCCTTTTTTTTAGCGCATAATAGATGGTTCGGTTGGTTGGCTCAAAAGCAGGGACTAACAAGATGTTGCAGGGCCTATAAAGAGCATCAATTTGTCATTTCCACGATACTTCTGGGCTAACACTGCTAATATAAACAAGCAGCCTATCGCAAAGCACTTTTAAAAACACAGCTTCCCCTCCCTTCCTCCCTCGCTTCCTCTTGCTCAACAGCATTCCCGTTTTTTTTTGCAAATCCGCAAGGAACAGAAGTGAAAAATTAAACTGAGCTATATGTCATGCACACTGTTTTGTCCGATACGTTGCGAGGATAGTCTCAACTTGTCATGGGCAAGAACAAACCAATCAATGAAGTCACGCACGCGCTGGTGAACTCA